CACAGTCTTTAAGGAGGGCGGGAGAGGTGAAGCACGTCCAGGGTAAGTGAGGTTTCCAAGGGCTGAGGCACTTCCGGGCTCTGGCTCGTCCCTGGGTGTCTCCATCCTGAGCCTCGCCCCACTCACCAGCCTGGGCACTGCTTCTTTCCAGCTGGGCCGTTCTCCGTCCCACCATGATCCGGGTTGTGTCGCTCCTCTGCTGTGTCCTGCTGTCCCCAGTGGCTGCCTTTCCAAGAAATGCCCAGAATGGAGCCCTGACCTCCCCGCCGTCTGTCACAGAGAATGGGCCTCAGCCAAGCACGCTCCCCAGGCGGAATCCTCTCCCAGATCCCAGGGCCTGCCAGGATCTCCTGCACATGGTCCCCTCCTTAGCCCCTCTGCCTGAGCACCTGTCCAAGATAGCGCTGAGGGTGGCCCTGGAGGAGGCTGGCTGCCTGGCGGAAGCCCGCAACCTGCAGCTTCAGCTCACCAGGATGGGCGCAAAGGACATCACCGAGACTCTCATCCAGCAGAGTCAGGAGCGCAGGGAGGGGGGCGGGATCAGCAGCACGCAGGTCATTCTGAGGGATCTGGGGGGCTCCCCAGGGGAGCTAAGGCGGGCCCGGCGCTCAGCTCCCCTTCCTGAGGCGTGTTCCTCCCGATACGGGTGGGTGCTCCACGACACCTCGGAGCTGATCGCGGAGTTTGCTGAGAAGCTCCCTGCCACCGAGCTGAGCTGGCAGCAAAGCTGAAGACGGCTGCCCTCAATGTCACCCAGAAGTGCACGCAAGAGTCTTGGGAGCAATTGGAAGAAGTGCTCAAAGAGCTGATAAGAAGCCCTGAAGTGAGGAACTACACAATGCCTTTAGAAGAGCAGACAGGCTTTGCCATTCGAATCATGTACATGTGGAAGCGTTTTATAGTGGACATGATAAAGGAATTTTTCCAGACTTATTTTGGATAGGGAGGGCCTCCTAGCATCACCTTTACTTTCTCGATGTTTCTGACAGGCCTGTGTATAGGGAGAGTTTAGGACAGATGTTTGTTCTTCATTTGATCCCACTGTGACCGTAACCAGCCTTGCTCCTCTCTTAGTAGGTCCTAGCCCCTATTTCTTCTCCCAGTTTCTCTTCCTTCCAGTTGTTAAATACTGCGGACTGATTATGTACCATGCATGAAGCCTGTTGTGATCTCCCCGTTCATCTGCCTTGTACTTTGTAGTTCCCCAGCCTGCCGCTGGAGCTTGCTTACGTGAATGTTTTTAACTGCGAAGAAGAAATAAATAGCTGTTTGCATGTCAGAATCATGGTTGTCTGGTCTCTTGAGTCTGGATCTCTGGGGATCCCTTTTGTGAGCCCTAGGTGGAAGTTGGCAGGGACACATAGGAGGTGTGTGCATCCTCTGAGGCTGAAGGTTCGAGCAGTCATTACAAATTGGCAAATATCTGTGGAGATCATGTCCCTTACTGATCATCAGGGAAAGCGATTCCCATCCCCCACCCCCACGGGGCAGGGAACTGGGCACAGGGCCTGCACCCATCCAAACAGTCTCACTTCTCACTCATGGGGCTGCATGGTAATGCAGGGAAGTGGAGCAGAGGAGGGCTCTGCTGATCTGGTATGGGGAGACCAAGAAAACAAAATTGAGTCTCATTCCTATTTCCTGATGAGGACACAAAGGCTGGGTGATTAGCACAACCATTAAGTCACCTGCTTGAGACACCACATCCCACATCAGAGTGCCTGGGTTTGAGTTTCCGCTCTGCTGCCAACTCCAGCTTCCTGCTAATGCTCACCCCTGGAGTCAGCTGATGATGGTTCAAATACTTGAGTCCCCACCACCCTCATGGGAGACCCAGATGAAGTCCCTGGCTGCAGGTTTTACCATGGCCCAGCCCCAGCTGTTATAGGCATTTGGACAGTGAACCAGGGCATTGAAGATCTCTCTCTGTTTCTCTTTCTTTCAAATAAAATGAAAATAAAGAGATGCTTTAAAAAAATAAAAAGGAACACAAGCTGAGAGCTGATGGGTGAGACTCCTCTAACCGAGCCCTGGTTCCTTTCAGACAGAGCCCCAGGGGAACGGTTTGAGTGTCGTCTTCTGTGCTGGCACAGTCTGATCAGCTGAGCGTCACCTGAAACCCACCATGACCTGCCCCTCTTCTGCCTCCCACGGTTGTCATGTCATGTGAAACCCAAAGTCCTTGGTGCCTTTCTCTTCATCTCTGAAGATCCAGTCACCCTCCTGGCTCTTGGTTATGGTGAAGTAACACCTTGACAGTAGGGACTCCATTTTGAAGAACCTGAGACTCCATTCTGGGTAGGTGCCCCCACCCCCACACCCTACCCCCACACCCTGAGACTCTAGTCTGAAACTATGATCTGAAACAGTTAAACAACAGAAGTCCACTAGAGCACACTTGGCAGAGCATAGAAACCCCCTAGGATGATTGCTCAAGCTTGGAAGTGGATAGGCTGCTCCTGGGTTAATGATAAAAATGTAATTTGTCTATGTCCTACATATGATTAAAACCAATACCTGGATTAATGTCAAGATTATAATTATAGCCGGCGCCGTGGCTCAATAGGCTAATCCTCCACCTGCGCCGCCAGCACACCGGGTTCTAGTCCTGGTCTGGGCGGCGGTTCTGTCCCAGTTGCTCCTCTTCCAGTCCAGCTCTCTCCTGTGGCCCAGGAAGGCAGTGGAGGATGGCCCAAGTCCTTGGGCCCTGTACCCGCATGGGAGACCAGGAGAAGCACCTGGCTCCTGGCTTCGGATCAGAGCAGTGCGCCGGCCGCAGCGGCCATTGAGGGGTGAACCAACGGAAAAGGAAGACCTTTCTCTCTGTCTCTCTCACTGTCCACTCTGTCAAAAAAAAAATTAATTAAAAAAGATTATAATTAAGATTGTTAAGATTGTAACTGGTAATGTCAGTTAGGAAAGCCCCCGATTCCTCTTGCAGCATGCATGTTTTTGGTAGTGAAATCGATTGATCTCATTCTCCTTTCGTTTGGCAGTGAGGACAGATGGCACACAGCTCCTGTAGCCCGAGTTCCAGGATGCCTCCTGCAGGGAGCTGAGGTAAAACATTTCCTGTCAGCCCCCGCCCCGCCCTGAAAGGCCCTGAAAGGCCCTGAAAGGGCCTGAAGCCCTTTTGGACATGGCCAAGCACACCTCATGGCACAAGAGGCCCCGACCTCCAGGTGTGCCGGGTTGAGAAGTCCTTTCCCTGGAAAGCACCCAAGGCGATCGTGGTCACAGACAGGGTGGGGAGTGACGACCTCACCACTGTGACCAACAGCACTTCTGAAACAGCAGCAGCTACCTGAGCACCAACATTCCCGGTGCCTGTGACGGCAGTTAATCCTCTGCCTGCAGTGCTGGCATCCCATATAGTCGCTGTTCGAGTCCCATCTGCTCCACTTCCCATCTAGCTCTCTGCTATGGCCTGGGGAAGCAGCAGAAGTTGGCCTAAGTGCTTGGGCCCCTGCATCTGCATGGGAGACCTGGAAGAAGCTGCAGGCTCCTGGCTTCAGATCGTCCCAGCTCCAGCCATTGCAGCCATTTGAGGAGTGAACCAGCAAATGGAAGAACTCTCTCTCTCCCTCTGCCTTCCAAAGAAATAAATAAATCTTTAAAAAAAAAAAAAAAAAGAAATGTTTTTATTGGGGCTGGCATTGTGGCCTGCAACCTGGGAAGGCAGCTGAAGAGGGTTCAAGTACTAGAGCCCCTGCCACCACATGGGAGCCGCAAATGAAGTTCCTGGCTCCTGACTTTGACCTGGCCCAGCCCTGGCTGTTGTGGCCATTTGAGGAGCAAACCAGCACATGGAAGATCTCTCTGTTTCTCTCTGTTGATCTGCCTTCAAAAAAAATAAATAAATATTTTTTTAAAAATAAAAAGAAATAGGGGCTGGTGGAATGTATTGTGGTACAACAGTTAAGCTGCCACTTGGGATTCCTGTGTCCTGTATCAGAGACACTGGTTTGAGTTCCGGCTACTCAGCAATTCCAATCCAGCTTCTTGCTAGAAGATATCGCTCTCTGTGTCTCATTCTGCCTTTCAAATAAATAAAAAGAAAAATATTTATTTATTTATTTATTTATTTGAAATTCAGTTAGGGGAGTGAGGGGAAGAGAGAGAGAGAGGGAGAAAGAGAGAGGTCTTCCATCCGATGGTTCACTCCCCAATTGGCTGTAACGGCCGGAGCTGTGCCGATCCAAAGCCAGGAGCCAGGAGCTTCTTCCGGGTCTCCCACATGGGTGCAGGGGTCCCATACAGGTTGCTAGCGCTTCAGGCCAGGACGTTAACCCACTGAGCCACAGCACTGTCCCCGAGAGAGAGAGAGAGAGAGATCTTTCATTTGCTGTTTCACTCTCCAAATGGCTGCCACAGCCATGGCTAAGCCAGGCCAAAGCCAGAGCCTAGAACTGCATCCAAGTCTCCCAAAAGGATGGCAGAGGCCCTGGCACTTGGGCCATCTGCTGCTTCCCCAGGCACATTAGCAAGGAGCTGGATCACAAGTGGAGTAGCCAGGACTGGAACCGGCACTCTGATGTGGGATGCCAGCATCACAAGCGGCAGCTGCCCCACCAGCCCCTATTTCTTCTCTTCCACCTTTCTTCTCTTTAAATCATCAAATATTGTGCATTTAGCATGTGCTATGCATAGGAGGTTATTTTAACCTTTTCTCATCCACCTTCCCTGAACTTCCTAAGTACCCAACCTGATGCTATAGTTTGCTAACTTAATTTTTAAACTGAAAAATAAGAGAATCATAAACATTAAATTGCTCCTAATTCTGAGTCTCCCTGGCTTCTGTCAGGAGCTTAGAGTGGAAACGTGGCAGGGGCAGATAGCAGACACCGAAGAACAAGGTCTCAGGTACTGACGGTGAGTGTGTGACCAGGGGACAAGGTCTGAACACCCGATAGAAATGAGCAAATATTTGTAGAGATTGCATTCCTTACTGATAACGGGGGAAAGCAAATACCCCCTTCCTCACGGGACAGAGAATTGGGCAGAATGGGAGCAACCAGCCTATCAAGGCAGTCTCAATTATCAGTGACTGGGCTGTGTGGTGATGTGGGGCCCCTATAAGTGGGTGGACGTAAAACAGAGGAAGCCCCTGGTGACCTGAACAGAGGGGAGACCATGTGGGAGCACCGGGGTTGACTTTTCTACTTCTAGGTCTTTATGTGAAAAGAAGTGTGGAGGTAAGTGGTGGATGAGCGTCCACTGAGTGTTGGGTTCCTTTCGCACCACGGCTGGTACAGAAAACGTCTGCACGGTCTCTGTCTCTCCCCTTTGCAGAGAACTCCGCTCCAGACATGTGGGGCCTCAGATTCGTCATGGTGCCAGTGGAGCTGCTTCTCTGCTACCTCTTGCTGCACTCTGTGGATGCCACTCTCCATGCAAAGCCGACAAATGTCTCAAAGCACCTTCCCTCATCCTCCCAGTCGCCCTCCTCAGGCTCCTTGTCCTGCCAGACCCTGCTCCCAAAGTCCCTGCCTGGCTTCAACCACTTGGCCCCTCTACCTAAGTTCCTGGTAGGCCTGGCTCTAAGGAGCGCCCTGGATAAAGTGGGCTGCCAGGCTGAAGCACGGGCCGTGCAACGGCAGCTCCACCACTGGGGCGGTGTGAATGCCACCCAGATCCTCATCCACCATCTTCAAGAGCTCCAGGAAGGCGGAACCACAGAGAGGCGAGTGTCCGTGGAAGCCCTGGCCTCTGCCCTGCAGCTGTTAGCCCAGGAGCAGGCAGGCCCAGAGCGGGCCCGACGCTCCCTCCCCCGTGAGAACTGTGAGAATGAGCGGGAGCAAGGTGTGTACAGCATTGTCCGGCTCTTGCCGGGAGTGGGAACCTACTACAACCTGGGCACAGCTTTGTATTATGCTGCTCATAACTGCTCTGACAAGGCCCATGAACGGGGCCAGGATGGGGCCATAGATTTGGGTTATGACCTTCTGATGGCCATGGCTGGGCTGTCAGGGGGGCCCATGGGTCTAGCCATCAGTGCTGCACTTAAGCCCGCACTAAAGGCCGGGGTTCAGAAGCTGATTCAGTATTATCACAGTGAGAAAGAGGCAAACACTCCTCCACCAGAGACTGGCACTGACAGCTTGGGAGGCTTCTTGGATGTGAGTGATTTGGAGGAAACAACCCCCACAGATCCTCTGGGCTCAGAAATGCTGAATTCAGCTCCCTACAGGCAGTGGGAGGTTTTCAACAGCTATGACTCATATCCTGAGGCTGGGAACCTTGTGATATAAAAGAAGGGGGTAACCACAGAATGAATAAATCTGACACGTTGTGTATTCTGACACGTTGTGCATGTGTGCATGTGTTCAAACCCCAAATTCAAAAGTATTACCTTGGAGGAAAGCAGTGCAAGATTTATGCATTTGTTTGAAAGGCAGAGTTATGGGGGGAGAGAGGCAGAGAGAGAATCTCCCATTCACTGGTTCATTCCCCAAACGGTCATCTCGGCTGCAGCTGGACCAGGTCAAAGCCAGGAGCTTCATCCAGGTCTCCCAGGTGGGTGCAGGGGCCCAGGCCATCCTCTGCTGCTTTGTCAAGGGCATTAGCAGGGAGCGCGGAGGCCGGCGTTGCAGACAACGGCTTGATCCACTACGCCACAACGCGGGCCCCAAAACGTAGGAAATTAAAAGGATTCTGCTTTGAGCCCAAGCGCCTCTCGTTAGTGCCTGCGATCACTGACTTGTAACTCCTTTCTGGAAACTCGGTTTTTAAATGTCTAAGGTGGGAATAATTTTCACCTGCAGAGTTTTTTCCAGTGGAAACTGACAATCAGGGTACCGACAATAAATTGTTTATTATTTGGGATTCATTACCTCAGTGTGTCCCTTCCACTCCCAAAGAGTTAAACTTCTGGTTCCACCACTTCCGGTCGAGTTTTTAGTGCTTCCAGAATTCTCAAGATGGTTTCGGTTCTCCAGCCCCGGCGCGGGTTCTCGAAAATCAGCTGTTTTGAGTCCCCGGCTGTTCCGCTCATTGGACTCCTCCCCGTCGCGGGCGCGGGGTGGGACCTACTTGGGCGTCTTGACCAATCACTGGAACTGTAGGTGTGGTTCTGGCGCAGTTTGTTCCGCCCTGCGGAGAGGACGGATTTGTGGCAGCGCCAATGAGCTCGCAGCCTGGGGGAAGGCTCGGTGGAGTGGCAGCCCGCGTCGAGGCGCCGGCTGGGGACTTCGAGCCCCGGGTCTTCAGGCGCCGGTCCAGCCCACTCGGAAGGGGCGGGCTCAGGTGCCAGACGGAATTTGTGAGTGGGTGGGCGGTACACTTTGGTATCTAGCTCCCTCAGGGGACGGAAAGTCGCGTCCTGAGCCACTGGAAGGAGCGGGGACTACGACCCTCACAGGTATGGGCCTTGAGAGGGTGTGCGAGGAAGAGGTGGGGTAAGAGCGGCTGGCTCCAGGGGGTGCGCCCCGTTGGGGACAACTTCTGTCCTCGGTTTGAAGTAGGAGCTGTCTTCGTGCGGGGTCTCTCGCTCTTGTCCGTCCAGCCTAGCTCCCCAACCCTAACGCCCCTTTGTCAAAACTCCCCTGCTGCCCGAGACCCGGCACCTAGCATTATTGCATTGGTTTGATGTCCAACGTATTTGCCTATGCACTGCATTATTTTTTGAAAGATTTATTTATTTGAAAGTCTGAGTGACAGGGAGAGAGAGATTTCTTCCATCCACTGCTTTACTCCCTGAAAAGACTGCAACAACCATGTTTGAGCCCCTGAATCGTGGAGCCAGGAACTCTATCCAGGATTTCCACGTAGGTGGCAGGGGCCCAAGCACTTGGGCCATCCTGGCATGCTTTTCCCACGGGGATTAGCAAGGAGCTGGGTTGGAAGTGGAGTAGCCAGGACCAGAACTGGCGCTCTGATATAGTATGCCGACAACACAAGCAGCATCACTCACTGCACCACAACTCTGCCCCTGCTGCATTATTTTTGATCCTTACCAAAAAAGTGTCCAGAGATAGATATTTTTTATCATCTTTGTTGCATAAAAAGGTACAAAGAACTAAAGTGCAAAATGATATGCTTAAGGGAACACGCAAAATCCATTTCATTTCAGAAAAGTTTGTTGAGTGCAAAATATGTGCCAAAAAATGTATTACAGTCACTTACCTCGATGTTTGCAATCTGGGGAGATCAGGTTTTGTTTTGCTTGTTTGTTTTCATATTTAAATCTTGTTCCTTTAATATAAGCCTTTTAGTTCCTCCAGAATAATGACCTCCTCATTGTTTAAATTTATTATCATTATTTAAATTTCTTAAAAGCAGTAGAGATGCATAGGTTAAAAATTCAAACTTTACTGGAAGAATTAAAATGAAAATTAGGAGCTTCTGCCTGAGTTAGAAGGGCAGCTGGTGTTAATTCATGCATTGTAATAAAAGCAGGTGACATTTTTAGACCACAGATGTGCCCGTTTATTCAGTTCTGTTAGGCTCAAGCTGCAACAAGAAGTAAGTTTTAATTTCCTGAAAAGATATAAGATGGCTGTGGCCACAAAAAGGTGGGGGGAAATATACAAGGCACAACCTGTTCCATGACAAAAAGGAGTTTCAAGTGAGATTTCTGAGTCTTCCCAAAGTTGATAATCCATATGGAGAGCCGAGATTGAATGAGGCCATAAAAGTGTCCGAGTCTAAGAGACAGAGTGGCAAAGTATTTAACATTCTTCCACCGTGGAATTTGTCCTTCCTACCTGGAGGGCAGTTTGAGGAACATTTATTTGATCTCCAAAAAGATTTCATCCCCTAAAACAGCACCAGGCCAGCAGGGATCATGCTGTAATAAATACTTAGGACTGACATCGATCTTTACTCCAGTATAAACACATATGATCACAAACAAATTCAAAATAAAGAGGGTGTGAAATGAGACAGTAGGAATATTAATGTTTCTTGAGGGTGGATGATAAGTACATGGATGCCTTGTACTATTTTATTTAAATTGATGGGGCCAGAGTTGTAATGCAGCAGGTTAAGCTGCCTCCCCCAACACCTGCATCCTATATTTGTGCACCAGTCTGAGTCCTGGCTGAAACCCCGTTTTGATCCAGCTCCCTATTGCTGCACCTGGGAAGGCAGCAGAAGATGGACCAGGTACTTGGGCCCTTGCTACCTACATGGGAGTTCCAGGCTTCTGGCTTCAGCCTGGCCTAGCCATGGCCGTTGTGGTCATTTAGGGAGTGAACTGGCAGATGAAGATCTCTGTCTCTCTCTTTGTCTCTGCCATTCTGCTTTGAAATAAATAAATGCTTAAAAATATTTTAAGTTAGTAATCAATTTATCCTGACTGGACTTTGCATACCATACACACGTGGGGCAGGTGTTGTGGTGCAGCAGGTGAAGACGCTGCTTGCGATGCCAGCAGCCCACATCAGAGTGCTGGTTTGAGTGCCGGCTGCTCTGCTTCTGTTCCAGCTCCCTGCTGATGTGCCTGGAAAGGCAGCAGATGATGACCCAAATACTTGGGCCTCTGCCACCCACATGGGAGACCTGGATGGTGTGCTTGGCTCCTGGCTTCAGCTGTCCCAGACCTGATTTTCTGAACCATTTGGGGAGTGAGCCAGCAGATGGGAGATCCCCTACTCTCCCTCTCTCTTACTTTGTCCTTAAACTAAGTAAATGTTTTTAATATATATATACATATGCTGAAACATCACATAGTACCATAAATATGTTCAATTTTTATATGTAATAAGTATGATTTTTACAATTTAGTCCTGCAAAAAACTCAGTTGGAATCTTGCATCCTTCCATCTCGAAGCCCAGATGGCACAGTGGGAGATGCTGCAGGATCTGGACGGCCCATATCAGGATCTGCTACACCAGCTGTACTCACATAGCCTCCTGCCAGTGGACATTCGACAGCACTTGGCTGCCTGGATTGAAGACCAGAACTGGTGAGAGTTTCAGTAGGTTGGAGGAGATAAAGGAGGGTTTTGTTTTTTTTTTTTAAGACTTACTGTATTTATTTGAAAGGCAGGGTTAGAGAGAGAGAGATCTTCCATTTACTGGTCCACTCCTTAAATGGCTGCAATGACTATGGCTGGACCAGGCCGAAGCCAGGAGCTGGGAGCTTCTTCTGGGTCTCCCACACATGGATGCAGGGGCCCAAAGACTTGGGCTGTCTCCACTGCTTTCCCAGGCGCATTAGCAGGGAGTTGGATTGGAAGCAGAGCAGCTGGGACTCGAACCAGTGCTCTGATAGGGGCTGCCACAATGCCAGCCCCTGTTTCTTTCTTAGGAGTGCCTAAGATCCTGGAGATGTCAAAAGCAGGAAGAGGTTGGGAGGGTTCAGGGCAGAAGCAACCTTGTGGAGACACTAATGCTGTTCCTGGCCCCCAGGCGAGAAGCTGTGCTGGGCAACGATGATTCTAAGGCTACCATGCTGTTCTTCCACTTCTTGGAGCAAGTGAACTTCGAGTGTGGCCGCTGCAGTCAAGACCCTGAGTGCTTGTTGCTGCAACACAACTTGAGAAAATTCTACCGGGACCTTCAGGTACTGGGAGAAGCTGAGACTATAGGGTAGGACTGGAAGCCAAGTGTAGAGTAAGGTTTGGGGTATAGCATGGTACCTGGAAGTACAAAGAGAAGAGCATGGATCTGGGGAAAGAACACAACATGAAGTTGGGGAATCTGCGACAGAGGCTAGATGACACCATCGGGAGGGTGGCCGGGTTTAGGAAACCCAATGGTGAAAAGGGAAATGGCCAGGACCCTGAAGGAGGGGGAACTACAGGGGACAGTGTGGGGAGGGTCAAGGGTGGCAGGACACTAAGAGGGGTCGAATTAGATTATTCCTTCCTCTTCTCCCACCCTAGGCCTTCCCCAGAGGCCCTACCCAATTGGCTGAAATGATGTTTAACCTCCTTTTGGAAGAAGAAAAAATTCTGAATCAGGCTCAGAGGGCCCAGATGGTAAGAACAATCTGCTGGTGGTGTTGGAAGCTCCTGGAGTAGGGAGTGACCGTGAGAAGGACTCTTAGAACAGGATTCCCCACTATATTCTGTGGTATAGTTTCAGGTCTGGCCCTCAGGGCCCAAAGGTCGGAATTGAAATATGCTCAGTCTCTTGTTTCAGGAGCCAGGCCAGCCGGCTCTGGGAGCACCTGTGGAGAGCCAGCAGCATGATATCGAGTCCCGGCTCCTGGATTTGAAGGCTATGATGGAGGTTGGTCAGTGTGGCAAGAGACGGGGCAGGCAGGGCTTATTCTGTGGCCTCCCTCAAAACAAGCCTCAGTGGGACCCCATCCCCTCCGCAGAAGCTGGTGAAGTCCATCAGCCAGCTGGCAGAC